AAAAAAAAAAAAAAAGATTATTTCTCATTCATAGGTTCTGTTTAAACATTCATAGAAAATGATAGGACAAGATTTGAAGACATATATTGGGTTCTATTTAAACCATAATAGAAAATGCAGTAACAATTCATAATAAATAAGCTTCGAACAAAATGCATATAAGCAGATAAAAATAAGGAAGCGAATATAAATACAAATAAAAACATGGAAGATTCGAACGAAGTGCATGTAGACAATCACTAATTTCACGGGAATATTTGAACAAAAAGAAAAAAACTAAATGAAGATTAAGAAGAAAAAATATTACTAGGGTTGTCGTCGTCGGCGTAGTTGCCGTTGCCAGCTTAGTTGTTGGAAACGAGGATCTTGCCGGCTTTGTCGAAGGTGTTTTGGTCTCCTGTATTGAGTGGGTTTAGGGTTAAGGGTAATGCCGTAATGGCTAATTAGAAATGACGGGAGAAAATGTATGCGGTTCTAAGAAAATGTAATTTATTTTATTTTTTCTTTTAATTTAGTTGGGTGATATTTTGAATATCACGTCACCATGTGGTAACCGGTTGTGTAATCCTTTATGTACGTGTAGCACCGTCCTTTTTAAATTGCTGATAATTAATCTTGTCATGTACAATTTGGTTCTTAATTTTTTTTTGTTCATATTGAGTCCTTGAGTATTGTAATTAAAGTCCTTCAACTTTCAAATATGACTAATCGGTCCCCAACTTTCAAAATGTTCAATTTTACTCATTTTTGATCAATTATGTCTCCTTTTCATTCATTCTCATTGTCCATCCCGAGTTTTCTCATAAAATAATAAAAGACACATAAAATTAAATATCTTGTTCATAAAAATACTCTCAAAGTCACTTTTCAACGGTCAATATAAGTGTAATATTTATACTTAATTATCAATTTAACTGTAGTCCGCTTGAAAATTGCAAGTAAATAATATCATAGACAAGTAATAAAATAGAGGAGGGTATCGTCTGCATGATATCTATAATTACGTAAATCCAGCCTTAACCAAATTATATTATATTTTTGAGCTGTATTTGATTTTTTAACCAATATTAACTTAATTAATAAAAAAGCATGTTGAAAATTTCTAAAAAAGTTTCGAATATGAAAATGGAAGTAGAATTTCAATTCCACACTACAACAAAAATAGCCATT